TGCAAACGTGCCACAAAGGCCGGGATCTCCTCCACCGAGGATGGCAGATCAGGCCCTCCAATCGCACCACGGTATGAGAGGCAGGAAGTCGACTGGTCGTTGACAAGGTCTCTATCATCGGGTCGAAGGGCACCAGACATGTGGGCTGCCAAATTGAGATTCCGCTCCCTCCACCAGCCAGGATGAAATGCAACGGTAGAAGTCCATCTGTCCTTGTCTGTAGCGCGTTGGCCACGTATGTCGACAGAGGAAGGAGTCCGCTGGAAGACAGTGAGGTGTCCGGCATACTTGGCAAGTTGCGGAATCGCCTGGACCGCCGTGGCGCCAGTCCCGATTATGCCCACTCGTTTCCCAGCGAGCCTGTCAAGGACCGGATTTTCTTGAGAACCGCCAGTGAGAGCATAGTTCCAGCGCGACGTGTGAAACGAAGCACCCTTGAAGTTCTCGATCCCAGAAACGGCAGGGAGTTTCGGATGCAGTATCAGGCCAGATGCCGCAACGACAAACTCCGCAGTCACATCGATCTTCATTTGAGAGCCTGACTTGCGCTCCTTGGTCATGCCGACTTTCCACTGGCGGCTGGATTCTTCCCAGACGAGGGTGTTGATTTTGGTGCGGAACATGGCCGTGTCCGAGAGATGGTATTTGTCTGCGACTGCGTTCAAGTACTTCCTGATCTCGTGGCCGTATGCATACTTGTGTTCTGGGACGTAATCCATCTCTTCAAGAAGCGGAAGATAGCAATACGACTCTATATCGCACATCAAACCCGGATAGCGGTTATAATACCACGTCCCTCCTACACCTCCCGCGGCGTCAACGAGACGGATCTCCGACGCCGATATGCCTGCCTGGATGAGCTTGACGGCGAAGAGGAGGCCGCCAATTCCAGCCCCCAGGATGAGATACTTGACGTGCTCGCCGTCCTTGATGGTCACTTTTTCCGAGCGCTCGTCGACCCAGGGGTCTTCTCGATAGTGCTTGAACTGCTCTGACAGCGCCAGGTCCACGTATTGCGCGTCGCCGTCCGGCCGTAGCCGCTTCTGCCGCTCCTCGTCGTACTTTTTCTGTATCTTATTCACGCCTTCTAGGATATCAACGACACCTGCGACTTGCGCATGGGCGGCGACGCCGTTCATGGGTTCTGCAGCTACGGCTGTGGCGTCGACTTGGATGTCTTGTCCCACGCTCGGGGCGGGACTGTCTAGAGGATTGGCTGTGGATGCGTGTCTGGCCATCCTGTTTCCCGCTGTGAAAGAGTGAAAGAAGTGAGTCAAGGCGCAACTGACCCGGTCAAGCACGACGGTTACGCAGTGTCTCGGGGACGAGGAACCGAGGGGACGTTGAAAGAAAAAGCGACATGCTCGGCTTTGTGAGAAGTTATATGCATTGACACAGTGGTGTAATACGGCCCCTGTCGCGGGCAGAATTGGTTTCACAAATGGGTTGCCTGGGCATTGGCATCCCAGTCTGGACTGTTCAACCTCGAAACTAGACAGGTATGTATGCATATTCCACAAATTTAACCGGATGAAGTAAAAGGGTGCAAAAGCGGCCCGGTGACCCGCCCTTCATGAGATGACCCGGGGACATTTGTATGATTATCAAGTATGGAGCCTCCCAACGAGCGTAGAGAATGTGTCGATCTGCTTCTCATGTTCTCATGGGCAGCCGCAGTTACGACGACAGATCCTGTAATGCTAGCAAATGAGCACCTCGTAAAGCCAGATCCCTGTTTCACGTCAAATGCGAATCCACCGTAGATATCGTTTGGCGTATGTGCTCATAGGGAGAACACTGGGGCTCCATACCGAAGGATCAATCAACTGCTGACAGCTTAGGCGAGGCTGACATATATTGTGGTATGCTGTGTCGGATCTGACCCGCGAAGTAGCAACATCTAGACGGAGTGATCGAGTGGACCTGCTGTAGATAGCTGGAGATGGATCGTGTGACAGTACAATTCGCTTTCACGCGTACAAGTTCATGCGTTGAGGCCGACAGAAGCGGAGGAAGCTTGTGTTGTGTACCTTGGGCATTTCACCACATCTCCAAACACATGTGCCTCGAGAGTGTCCTACCCTTGAAGTTCGATCGTGTCCCGGATTATCTCTATGTTCGGTTTTGAATACACCGCTTGTAAAGATCGGCGGACGTATTCCCCCGAAGTCACGGGCTGGAATTTTGGCGGCTGATCGGGCGTGACAAATTGTTCAAGAGCCTTCAATTCCGCCTCCTGGTTTGCTGTAGAAAGTAAGCAGATTGCATTGAGATGACTGATAGAGAGATGCTCACCTCCTAGAAAGAATGGGACCGAGTATCGGTCCCGCCTTGAGTGGTTGAGAACTCGGTGCATGGTGGACACAAAAAGCCCATTGGTGAGCATGGCCATGGAATCCCCGATGTTGACCACAAATGTACCCGGAATGGGTTTTGCTTGGATCCACTGTCCGGTATTAGACAGGACCTCGAGGGAGGGGATATTATCCTGTAAGAGGATCGTCAAGAGCTCGTAGTCTGTGTGAGGACGAATCGACGATGGCTCTTCTGATCCAGCAAGTACCCCAGGGTAATGTGCCATCTTGAGAATAGAGTAAGGTTTGGTAGCCAGGTGGTCGAATGAGTTCTCCTCCAGATTGAGGCCGAGGGCAAACATTCGCAGCAAAGCTCGACTCAACACGAGGACACGAGACATGTATTCCTTGACGTTCTTCTCGTAGCCAGGAAGACGCTCCTCCGACGGCCACCAGTTGTCACCGTTGTTCTTTGGATTAACAGCATCGGGGTCAACGGCGGGTTCGTAGCCATAGTTGATACCTTCGTTCAATTCTAGAAAATGTCAGGAATGCTCAGTCTTAGGGAGTCGTGGGACGTACTTGCGCCTGCAGGTAGACTAGGGTCAAGATTGATTGGGTAATAGCCATAGTAATGCTCATGCTTTTCTGTGTCATATTGCATTTTTTCTTCAAGACTCAGTTCATGGAAGAAGCGTTTGCATTCTGAGAAGATGGTTTCGACGACTGTGTCCGGAACACCATGGTTACTGACATAGAAAAAACCCACATTGGCTGCGGCATGGCATATCTGTTGTGCAACAGCCCTTCGACGTTCTTGATCAGGATGGCCTATATCACCAATATCAATGACGGGAAGGCTGAAGGTGGCTTCGGTGCTGGTTGGAGAGAGCACCTTTCGCCATCCTAGCCCAGTTCTGACCTCCTGGTAGCCGTTGGGGGCAGTTCTGATAATGTCCGTCATCGAGGGAATAGTATACAATATCGGCGTCCATCAACAACCTGCGAAGTCAACCTCTTCATTTATCTAACATGTCGTGCATGTCTTGCCTCGACCCGGACAAGTCCGCGAAATGAAATATAGCACAAGTGAGGCCCAGAATGCCATGTTATCGTATTGTGTGCACATATCCGTGGTCGGAAGCTTTGGCTTCATTCAATCATGACGATATGATAATGAATGGCCCGAGGTTTCAGGTGATACCGAGTCGACTGTACCTAGCAGTATCTTGCCGCGAGCATCTCGTCATACGCCAGGTCTGATCTGTACGATGTAACTCTCGATGGGTCGTGGTGGCACAACTGGAACGTTTCGAGGCCAGGCTGCGGATTTCATCCTCCACCAACTCGAGGTAATAGCAGGTACGGTGGCTTTTTGGTTTGGTGGCGCCCATCATTAACATAGCTGGTGCATGATGAGTGCACAGCGCAGCATGCTTGGGCAAATTGAGACGAAACTGAGGGGGAAGACTAGAAGGCGTCGAATATGCCAAGGGCTCAGAGAGCTCAGGCTACCATCGGTGCAAGCCGCGGAGCCTAATTAATGGTACTGGGAGTCATTTAGGCATCAACTAGCCATGGAATCAAGCACTTGGGCAGCACCAGCGCCAATTGTTAGGCCCGCACCACCTGGAAAACAGGCTGGAGATTCTTTTTACAAGTGTCTCCTCCCAGTAAACTCTTGTTTTCCGTCGCGAACCTCCTACAAGTATGTATCACAACAATAACCGCGGTCAACACACAACTCGCTTCAACTCGGTTCCTCTAACAGTAGAATACGTCGATCGATTGGCGAAGGCTGCATACCATCTTCCCGCCGAAGTGCATGAAACACCGGGGTTGTTGACGAGAACGCAGGTCCACGTGTATCGTGTCCCTCGAACTCGCCCATTGTTTTACGACGCGCTGCACAAAAGGGGGATGCACTGGTCAATAATGGTCAAGGCAGCTATGAGCGACGATTACGATGGCTTCGCCCTCTTAGTCAATCGAACAACTACCCCATCCTCCTCCTGTCCTCGGTACCTCCTCTCCCAGCCACAATCCATTCCTGTGGATTCTCTTCCAAGCCTACCGTCGTTTGTGGACAAAGTGAAACTCGACTTCAAACAGGGCTTAAGGGTGTTACGATTGGTGCTTCAGATGAGCGAGCCGTAGCCAATCGCCAGGCTGATCCCCGCATGCCCCTTGACCGCTGGAACAAGCTGCGACACTCGACGAGGCTGAACCCCTTCACTACCGTCTCAGCCTTGCCCTTCGCTGTTTGATCCGCAGTGTCTTCTTCTGTTGATGTGCTTGTCGATTGGAGTGAGGTTACATCTTGCACCAGCACTTCATTGGAAATTATCTCGTGTCCATCCAGCCTCGTGACATCTGGATTGATCTCCAGCTGGAATCCATTTGCTAACAGAAAAGGGGTTTCTAAGGTAGGTTGCATCTTTGATGCCTGAGTGCACGATTTATTCAAATACACGGTGTATCTCGCAGCTTCTCATTATTTTATTCCATCAACCAAGTTCTATTCTCTCCTTCTTTCTGTTCTATCTGTTCACCTTTTGTGACAACATTTCACATTCATTCTATCTACACAACTGCCGGTTCAGTTCAGCGACATATACTCAAAATGATTTCAAACACTCCTTCAAGATCTTCCTCACTTGTATTTCTATTCCTCAACTGTAAGTATATTTCCAATCGCTTCCCTCGATGACGACACGCGCTGACACTGGACACTCAGTGGCTCTGCTGGTTCTCGGCCAAGGTACTCAATTCATCACTGGTCCCTGTACGAGCGATGCCGACTGCGCCTCCAGCTGCTGTGGCTTCAACAGCGGCCTGTGCGCCGGTCCTGTCATAGCCCAGACGCGTGATGGAGGATGTGGCTTTGGTGACGCGCAACCCAATGACATCGCAGCCCAAGCCTTCTTCAGCTCACAAGCGGCCGCAGCTGGTGCGACGTCTCCTGCAACCGCCGCACCTGCCCCTGCGGCTGCCACTTCCTCTCCCCCCTCGTCGGGATCTGGCAACGGTAACGTGGGCACTGGAACGCAATTCATCACCGGCGCCTGTACCAGTGACGCAGATTGTGCCTCAGGATGTTGCGGCTTCAACAGTGGAAAGTGCGCTGGTGCCATTGTCGCCCAGGAAAGAGATGGCGGATGTGGATTCGGCGACGCTCAGCCAAATGATAACGCTGCACAACTACTTCGTGGAGGACAACCCACCTCGGCTGCTACCTCTGCGCCGGCTCCGGCGAACACTGCCTCCACTGCCAACACTGGTACTGGCACAACCAGTGGCTCCAACCCACCCATCGATAGCAGCATCCCGGGCTCTCAAAACGTGGGCAAAGCCGACGCTTCGCAATTCATCACAGGGCAATGTTTTAGTGATGCAGACTGCGCATCGGGATGCTGTGGTTTCAACACTGGAAAGTGCGCAGGGGCAATCATTGCACAAACTCGAGACGGAGGATGTGGATTTGGAGATGGGCAGCCAAATGACAATGCGGCCCAGGCATTGCAGGGTGGAGCGAAGAAGAGGAGAGGCATTGCGGCGGTGAGGGAGTACATGGCATGATCTGCCGAAACTTTACGACGATGATGATGTGCATATCCCCCACGCAGGTAGTGGCAACAGGCAAAGCATTTTCAGGATGGAACCAAAAAGAATTGGGTGCATATAAAGTATAAGGCCAGCAGAACCTTCCGAGGGTTGGACGTGTCTGAGGTCCTTCTTACATTTGTCTTTGGCGGAGAACAATACCTTGTTCAGAATTCAAGCGGCTATAATAGCAAGATGCTTTTCAATTCGTTCATGGACAATGCACCACTTTCTTCTTTAGGGCACACTGGTTCGGTGTCCCATTCCAGAGCAATAGTACTAGAGGCAGCGTTCTCATGCCCGGACTTTGACCGTGCTGCGCCTACCTCGACCCCAAGGATTACCATGTCGATATCCGATAGGGATAAGTCTTTGCGCGAGGCTGCGTCAGTGGCCAGGGTTCCATCATATAAATCCATTGGTTCGTGACATGTCCTTATTGGGATTGTAGAAGAGCGGGAGGACAACAACGGAATCGGAACGACCACGCAGCCACGCCAATGACTGAAGGCACCCTTGCACCTGGACACGCTAGCTCCTGAAACATGGGGTAATATCCAACCTCGTAAAGATATCCTCACCAAGAGACTTCGCATGTTCCGTTACAAAGCCAGAATACTGTCTGCTCCCGGTCCCCTAACGCGTGCAACGACATCGTCTGAAATCGAGACAGTCGGGTGTTTATTGGAGTTCGGCGCTGAGAATGGAGGCGGAAATCTAGAGGCGGACGATAAAGTCGAGGCGATGCGAATTGCGGTTGAGCAGAACGATTTGATGATCGTCGACCTTTTCCTAGCCAATGGTATGAAGCCCACGGGACGGGACCTTTATCAGCGCGGTCAAACAATGCTCATACACGATGCTCGAGCTCCTACTGCTAGGTGGCTTTAACGTCAATGCGTGGACCAGAGAAGATTGGCCTCCTCCTCTGGCGTGAGTAAAGGTCTACATTGCTGTTCTTACGATACCTCGACACAATACAGCGACGCATTATTCGACCCGGAGCTTGTGAGATGGCTCGTTGAACATGGCGCGGACCCGAAAGCTCAATGCAGATACGACATCACACCATTGTCGATCGCAGCTGGGTCGGCCTCGAGAGAAGTCGTCGAATTGTTGTTCGAGCTGGGCGCCTTCGTGAAGCATGGTCGACCGCTACACTGTGCCGTCAGAGCCGACCGTGGAGACGATGTCGTGGAGCTCCTCTTGAGAAAAAGTGCCTCGCCGCACGCACTCATGTTCCACGACCACCCGGTGTCGTTCTACCAGTTCGAATGCCTCGGTCTGGGAACACCATTACACGAGGCTGTCCGCCAGCGCAACGACAGGCTGGTACGGCTCCTTCTGAATCACGGCGAGAATCCGCAGATCAGGAACAGTCTGGGAGGATTGCCACAGGTCAAAAGGCTCCCTTTCAGCACTGCCCTCTGAATCGCCGAACACCGTACGCTTCAACAACGCTTCGCGGCCCAATTGCTCAAACTATGTCCTGTGTTCTACCTCTTCAAAATCAGAACGACACAGGACACAGGAGTTTGCCGCCCAGTATTCCCCCCCCCCATATGGAGTGTCGCCTACTTCTTCGCAGTTCTTCCTCCTGTTCGTCATGAGCACTCGAAGAAACGCCACTGTACCCTCACTAATTGTGAATGCCGGAGTCAACGGGCCGTCGCGATCTCGTATGATGAAAGCCACTGGCAGCGGTGATCCTTCCGCCTTGGGCCTTTTGCGATGCGAGGTCCAAGTGCAGTACAAGCCTCGACATACTGCCTGTTGGGGTTGTCGGTCTTAGACCAGGACGAGGTGAAGGATGGCTCAGATCATGCAAGTGAGCACTGTTGGCAATCAGCAACCTTCTTCTGTTATATCCATCTGTCTATGGGGACCCAGGATACACAGGGGGGATAACATTACAAAGTCCGGACCACGGGAAACAACCAGACTGATCGTCAGAGAGACATATAATCGGGATAAAAGGGATAGGTGGACAGGAGGAATAGTATGCGATCGTTTTTTACGACCGTGGAGCGATAGCTAACTAATTACGAGACTAATAGTCTATCCACACACTATCAAGGGCTGAGACTACTAGATTCCCCAACATCCCTGTGTCAAGCGACGTCTTCTCGTCCAATACGTAGAGACGAGGGAGCTACTACTGATTGATAGGATACTTTGTCACTAATTGTAGTACCATCATTTACTAGGACGCGCGGTCAAGTATCGGGCGTAGTGGGCGCCGTATGTTATGTATACCTCATTGAGTAGTGTAGATTCGGGTACGGCGGCGAGGGCGGGCGCATTGAACCGCACGTGCTGCCAAGCAAGACTCTTTTTCTCCCGGTGATAAAGACCACGTTCGGCCGTTATCGTGTTAGCTCCGACTAGACGGGTGGCCCATTGGCGGCGCTCTGAGCTGTGGTCCTGGGATGGAGAAAAGCTGGAGATAATGGACATTTGCGACGACGACCGACCGACCGACCAACGTGGTCAATACCCTGGGTGCCAGAAGAGGGGAGTCGTGCAAAGGAAAATCTGGCGCCAGCTCTTTGCTCTTTGTTTCAGACCTGAACCCGAACCCTGAGCCGTCGGGGTATAAAAGGTAGCCAAACCTGCTCGTCAGAACCTATTCCGTCGTTTTCTTGTTTTTTTTTTTCTTTTTAACATTCGACCAAAGTCCCCAAAGAATCAAATCATTTCTTTCGACAGACAGTTCAAAAAATGGAGTACCAAAACCTCGGGAAGAGCGGACTCAAGGTCTCCAAGGTCATCCTGTGAGTACTCACAACCCAGAACCATCCAGAGACTGGAGGAGGCGATGCTAATCCGGGAATGGAACAGGGGAGCCATGTCCTACGGCACGCCAGAGTGGCAAGGTTGGGTCCTGAATGAAGAAGACTCGTTGCCCCTGCTGGAATATGCGTACAAGGTCGGCATCCGGACCTGGGATACCGCCGACGTGTACAGCCACGGTCGATCCGAGCAGATCATCGGCAAGGCGATCAAGCAATACAACATCCCCCGCGAGCGCCTGGTGATTCTGAGCAAGTGCTACTTCGGCGTGACTCCGGACACCCCTGGCAGTGGAATTGCTGCCAGCTCGGTCAACGACGGCGACATGCTGAACCAGACGGGTCTCAGCCGCAAACACATCCTCGATGCAGTGGATAAGAGTGTCGCGCGGCTGGGCACCTACATCGACGTCCTCCAGATCCATCGTCTCGACCGGTCGGTCCCTCGCGAGGAGATCATGAGGGCGCTCAATGATGTGGTCGAGTCCGGCAAGGTCCGCTACATCGGTGCCTCTAGTATGGCGGCGTGGGAGTTTCAAGAACTGCAGAATGTCGCCGAGAAGCACGGGTGGCACAAGTTCATCTCGATGCAGAACTACTACAATCTGATCTATCGGGAAGAAGAAAACGAGATGATACCTTACTGCAACCACACGGGCGTCGGCCTTGTGCCGTGGTCGCCCGTCGCACGCGGAGCCTTGGCCCGTCCTTACAAAACCCGAGACACCCTTCGTGAGAAGACGGACAACTATCTGAAGACTGGGATCCGCGCCAAGGAAGACAAAGTCGACGAAGAGATCGTGGGGAGGGTCGAGGAGGTGGCCAAGAAGATGGGCAAGACCATGGCCCAGATTGCCATTGCTTGGTGTCTGAGCAAGAAGGACGTCTGCCCGATTGTGGGCTTGAACAAGAAGGAGAGGATGGACGAGGCAGTCGAGGCGTGCAAGATCAAGCTCAGCGATGAGGATATCAAATACCTCGAAGAGCCGTACATGCCCAAGAAGAGACAAGGCTATTGATCTCATCGTGTATGGTGACGTGGGAAAACCCCCCCTTGTTTTTTCAGAAGCCAGACAGACAGTGTCGTCCTGATGGAAGACTCTGATCACAAAGAAGTCTCCTGCCTGGCGTATGTGACTCTCGGATCAACTTCCTTGAGAGCAGAACAGTGATTCCAGTCCGTTGCCGCTTGGCGGTTGTCACGTTACCTCGCTGTCGTTGTTGTGAAGTGAAGTGCTGTGAAATTGGTCCTGTCCTCGCAAAGTATCACGAAGGCCGTTTGTCTTTTGCCTTACCCTCACTTTCTCCCCCTGCCTCAGTCGCGCAAAACGAAACCTACCTTTGCCGCACCGTGTTCTCCGAGTCTTCTGTAAGATTGCTCCTTCCCTATTCTGCGCCATCGCCATCGTTTGTATCGTTGCTGCGCGCTTCTCTTTCATCGCGCTGACCTGAGAGACAGTTTGAGGCGCAAGAGTCAAGCGTCCACCGCCCCTGGACCCGCGCGTTCAACCTCCTCCCTGGCCGTTGGTCTGCCTGGGAGACTCCACAAGGTCACATCCTGCACAGGATCCTGTTCTGCTGCAAAGCCTCACTCGTCAGCCCTCAAGCCGCGCGAGCTGCGGTGCAATCACAATGATGAGTAGTACCTGGGGACAAGGCGCTGATAGCGACTCAGATGGCGGGCCGCGAGGTGATGGAGTTGATCCTGTACAATATCGCAAGGGCAACACAGGCACTGGCACTGGCGGTAAACCTCGTCATGATCCCACGCCCGGTCTCGCCTTCTTGAGAAGTCGCGCAGCAGCTAGACGACTTGCAAATTCAGCCGAAGCCAGCAAGGCCACACCAGGTGCCACTGGTCCTGCTTCCGCAAAGCCACAAAAGTTCATGTCAGCCACGAGCAACAAATACCACAAAGCGGTGTTTCCTGGCATGAGAGTTCCTGTCCACATGCGCAAGATTGACAAGGGTGACCGCCACGGACACCAGTCCAACAATGGTGTTACCAAAACCAAGTCGGAGTCTGTACCTGTCATGTCGGTACAATGCCCCATGCCCGGTGGTACAGTAGTTACCGAAACCACTGATCCTGTGCAGAAGGTCAGCTGGGGTCCAATCTCCAGGATCGAAGCGAGCGAGGAAGCACGCGAGTTGATCAGCCTCTGGCGTGATGCCGTGAAAGACGCAAGGAAAACAAAGGCAAAAGGCAAAGGAGAGGATGACAGCGACGACAGCGATCAACCAGACAAACCCATGAAGACAAAGAATGCAGACAAACGTGGCAATGCTCCCAAAGTCGTCGCTGGCTTCCACGGCGGTGGAGGGTCTGGGTCTAAGGACCAGCAGAACATCTACGCCAACGATGACCTGACACCAACAAATGCCTCTCAAGCGGAAACTGAAGCAACCACAGACTCTCAACGCTCGCGTGGCTTCCTACAACCTCCACCTCCCACACCTCCCGACACCATCTTCCACAAGACACACTCGGTAGCAGCAGCGCTGTCAATGCCCACTCTTCCGAGTCTCCACCGTATCTCTGAACCACAGCTCGTTGAACAGTACCGCCTTCAGCATGCAACGGACCCGGAAGCCTTCGAAAAAGAAACCCGCGCCATCAAGAGAGGACTTGTGGATGCCAAGGTTGCGAGGGGTGGAAAACCGAGACTGTTGAAGAATGAATATACCGTTGAGTTGGCGAGTCGTGAAGACGCGGAAACCGCGGAGAAATGGGTCAGAGACCAGGGCAGGACCTTCGGGATCTCGGACGTGAGAAGCAGGGCGAACAGTACGTTCACGGCAAGCGACGCGGCGTCCGGATCTGAGGAACTAGCTTTGAAGATGAGAGGTGGAGAAATGGAGATGGGAGAGTTGGCGACTGTCGAAAGTGAAGAGAAGGAGGATGAAAAACAAGCAAAGGTCGAGGAAACACCCAAGCAAAAGCACCCTGGAGCTGTTCATGACCGAGAGGACCGCGCCATATCTGCAAAGTCACAGAACAAGCAGAACAGATCCCCACGCTCGGCCAAGTCTGCCAAATACACCCTGCTTAGATCCAAGCCAACGCTACGCAGCGTCAGATCTCAAGTATCTCGTCTCGACCTCTCAGAGCACGTGAGCAAAATCACCACGTATGGCAGTGTGCGACATCAACACTCGGTCAAGCGAGAGGCCGGGGACCACGGCGAGAAACGCACAGTCAGAACGTGGATCGAGGTAACCGAAGTTTATGAGGTGCCGACGTCCAAGTCACTTACCTTCAAGGATGTGGTGGCAGCAGTGGATGAAGACGCGGAAGATTACAATAGTGCTAGTGGTGGAGAGGGTTGGGAAAGTGAGAATGATGATGGATGGAGTGAGGATAGTGGCGAGAGCGACAGTGACACGGCAAAACAGACGGGCAAGAAGAATCATCACAAGTCAAACGCCAAGTCGAAGGGCAGACCCGGACCATCGATTGCCTCAAAGAGTCAAAAGGGCGGGTACGAGTCAGACTCCAGCTCTGCGTCCGCTGCGTCCTCGACCACTTCTGACTACGACAGTGCATCCCATCCTGCCGGCGTGCGCCTGTCAGGTCCAGGCTACCATGACCCCAGCGAGACAGATTCCGAAGCACTCTTTCATTCCCTCTCACGCTTT